GAGGATGAGTCCTGTGTGTATGTCAAGGCTAGTGGGAGTACAGTTAGCTTTCTGGTGTTGTATGTGGATGGCATACTGCTCATAGGAAATGACATTCCAACCTTGCAGGAGGTTAAGTGCAGGCTTGGGAAGTGTTTCGCTATGAAGGACCTTGGAGAAGCTGCTTACATCCTAGGGATAAGGATATTGAGAGACAGGTGTAAAAGACTAATTGGGCTTAGTCAAAGTACCTACTTGGACAAGGTGTTGAAACTATTCAGCATGGAGAATTCCAAGAAAGGTGACTTACCCATCCAAGGCAATACCAAACTGAGTAAGACTCAGAGTCCGAGTAGAGAGGATGAGATAGCTGAGATGAGTCGAGTACCATATGCTTCCGTAGTTGGCTCGATCATATATGGTATGACTTGTACTTGCCCTGATGTGTCCTTTGCTTTGAGCATGGTTAGCAGATATCAAGGGAATCCTGGTAAAGCTCACTGGACTGTGGTAAAGAATATTTTTAAGTACCTACGCATGACTAAGGACTGGGTCCTTACTCTTGGTGGGAGTGATGACCTAAGAGTCACAGGGTATAGTGACGCCAGCTTTCAGACCAACATAAATAACTTCCGCTCTCAGTCGGGCTGGGTTTTTACCCTGAATGGAGGAGCAATAACTTGGAAAAGTTCCAAACAGGTAACTGTAGCTAATTCAACGTGCGAATCAGAGTACATAGCAGCAAGCGAAGCGTCGAAGGAGGCAATATGGCTGAAGAACTTCATCGGAGACCTTGGAGTTGTACCAGTTATAAAGGAGCCTATGGAGATTTTCTGTGACAATGAGGGTGCGGTTTCCTTAACCAATGAACCAAGGGATCATGGCATACCCAGACACATCGACATAAAATATCACTTCATAAGAAATCGGGTGGAAGAAGGACTCCTCGTGGTAAAGAGGGTATCATCAGATGAGAACCCAACAGATCCTCTCACGAAGGGACTGAGTAGGGTTAAGCATTTGCAGCATGCGAGGAGCATTGGGCTGAAGGATGATATTAGTTTTAATGATTAGATAGCTATTTAGAAACTTGTAATAGATAAAATCTAATTGACATTTGATGATTAAATAAGAGGTGTTTTATTTATGAGTAAAATTACTATCTTATGTCAATTATTTACTACTGTTTCATTTTGCATGTTTTGACTTCCAGAATAATTATATTATTCAAACTGTCCACAATTGATCATACTTTGGAAGTAGATATTGATGCAAGACTGTCATGAATTTGGCTTGTAGATTGTCTGAAGTGTTTTAGACATAACAAGAGATTTCTACAACATTCATGAGTGCTCATAAGGTCTGAGTATTGGATTAAACCCACACTCACTTGAATTACTTCATGGAATTTGTCACGAGTGATCGTGAGACGATAATATCATATAAGTCTTCAAACCAAGATATATGAGTTGTTGACTATGAGTTGGTTGTACATTGATAGTGCGAAAATGCATCGGTAACTTGATGTTATAAAACGCACTGTTATGTATGATTTAACGAATAGTTAGTACAAGCATATAATGTCGAAGTTTATCTGTTCCTTTTAATTCTTGGAGGATTAAAAGTGATATCTTGGGCCCCTCGGTGATTTTTTTTGACTTATGTGCCAGGCCTGGTTGGGACTAAATTGCTGTGTTCAATTAAGTTCTCTATCAAACAAATCGGAAATCGAGAAACAAACTGCTGGACAATAAATTTGACTTTGTTCCATATATTTGTCTGGCTGATATCTTGAAGAACAAAAGATTATATGATCCCTTATCTAAAGGATGCGTCACTGACTGGGTCAGAGTTCGACAACAGCTTTTAAGAGCTACGATTGCTAGTCGATTTTAAGTCGTACTTACAGTTATAGTTATGAACTTATTAGTCAATGGATATTAGTATTTTTTATGTCAAATTGTTCAATTTATATTGCAAAAATTTGCCATTGCACATTTTTTTTGATTACTTTCTAACGTTCCTCTTTGGGGCGTAGCTGTTAAAAAAAACATTTATTAGCATTCATAGAAGTAAGAAAAATCAAACTTCACGCAAACTCACAACCTTGTTTTTCACGGATTCAGCGATATTTTATAAAATTCCATAAACAAATAAATACTTAAAATATAAACTCACCCTTTAATTTATTGGCCAATTGAAAATTGAAAATTAAAATACAACGATCACTTGTCACGTGGTACGAACATGTGTATGCTTCGATGGACGGCCAGGCCGGTCCGGACGCCAACAATATATAAATTTTGTTTTTATTTTATTTTCTAAATCACATCTACACACCTCTAGTTAAAAGATTTAACCCTGGTTAAAAAAAAGAATAATATTAGCTGGAATCCAGATATGAAAATCTCCATTTTCAAAAACTTCATATACAAAATTATCAACCGTTAGATCCTCACAACTTAAACAAATCTCAACCCTCCATTTGAATTTCAAATCAATTTCATTTTGGAGCCGTTTTAAAAACACCGTATATATCACCTGTATACATTCATCTATACCCTCATACGCTCCCTGCATATATAACCCACTCCCTCTCGATCGAAACCCTAATTTCTGTTGATCACTCGATCTCATCTATCCCTCTCCTTTCCCAAATCTCGGTTTCTCTCTTCCACCACCGGTAAAGATGCGTGAGATCCTTCATATTCAAGGTGGTCAATGTGGAAACCAGATCGGAGCTAAGTTCTGGGAGGTTGTTTGCGCCGAGCACGGCATCGATGTGACCGGGAAGTATACCGGAGATTCCGAGCTCCAGCTTGAGAGGATCAATGTTTATTACAATGAGGCCAGTGGTGGGAGGTTTGTTCCACGGGCGGTGCTCATGGATTTGGAGCCAGGGACGATGGACAGTCTCAGATCTGGAGCATACGGGCAGATCTTCAGGCCTGATAACTTTGTATTTGGTCAGTCTGGTGCTGGTAATAATTGGGCGAAAGGACACTACACTGAAGGTGCTGAGTTGATCGACTCGGTTCTGGATGTTGTTAGAAAGGAGGCCGAGAATTGCGATTGCTTACAAGGTATTCATCAACATCTCGATGTTTATATACTCATTAAATGCGTAGTAGTTCTCTTAAATGTTTGAATTGCCTTTCAATTTGAATTGAAAGTGACAGATCTGCTACGTAGATCCTCTGGATCTAAAACGTTAACAATCATTTTGTTGATTTGTTTAGTTCAAGTTTCTATGTTGTGTTTTACGCATCTCTTATTTGTTCGTTAATTTATCCAACGAAAATTGCAGAGTTTTGTGAATATTGAGACTCGGGATGTAGTCTTATCAATTTTTTGTTTACATTTGTGTAGAACTTGATAGATCCGCTTCCTTTTATACCTTTTATTACTGGTATACATGACAGATCTGTTTGGATGTTTGAATTTTATGATTGTTCTAACACCACATGCCATTATCCTTTTCGAGATCCTTAATTTTCATTTCTATGTATTCCCTAACGGAATTGCGTGAAGTACACTGAAAACCAAGTCAAAAGTGGTTCAACAAAGTGTTTTCATGATCACTAACTTGTATTCATACATAGTGTGCACTAAATCTGTCAAGTTTTTGTTCAAAAGATGCTAATGAAATTTGATTTGCAGGTTTCCAAGTGTGCCATTCTCTAGGAGGTGGAACAGGGTCTGGTATGGGAACTCTTCTGATTTCAAAGATCAGAGAAGAGTATCCTGACAGGATGATGATGACCTTCTCAGTCTTTCCATCACCAAAGGTCTCAGACACTGTTGTTGAACCCTACAACGCCACACTATCTGTCCACCAGCTCGTGGAAAATGCTGATGAATGCATGGTCCTTGATAACGAGGCCCTGTACGACATCTGCTTCAGAACCCTCAAACTCACCACCCCAAGCTGTAAGTCTCCTCAAAATTCAAACTAAAACTCTCTTTATGTTTCCAATTAATAACTTTATTCAATTTAATAACATCCACTTCTTGTTACAGTTGGTGATCTAAACCATCTCATTTCTGCAACAATGTCTGGAGTCACCTGTTGTCTGAGGTTTCCCGGTCAACTCAACTCTGACCTCCGAAAGCTCGCCGTCAATCTCATCCCATTCCCTCGTCTTCACTTTTTCATGGTCGGATTTGCCCCTCTAACCTCACGTGGGTCCCAGCAATACCGTGCCCTAACAGTCCCTGAACTCACCCAACAAATGTGGGATGCAAAGAACATGATGTGTGCAGCTGACCCACGTCACGGGCGTTACCTAACTGCTTCAGCCATCTATCGTGGAAAAATGAGCACAAAAGAAGTCGATGAACAGATGCTAAATGTTCAAAACAAGAACTCTTCATACTTTGTGGAATGGATCCCAAACAATGTTAAGTCAACTGTTTGTGATATCCCACCAACTGGGCTCAAAATGGCGTCCACTTTCATTGGTAACTCGACTTCCATTCAAGAAATGTTTAGGCGTGTGAGTGAGCAGTTTACTGCTATGTTTAGGAGAAAGGCTTTCTTGCATTGGTATACTGGTGAAGGTATGGATGAGATGGAGTTCACTGAGGCTGAGAGTAACATGAATGATTTGGTGTCTGAGTATCAGCAGTATCAGGATGCGACTGCTGATGAGGAGGGTGAGTATGAGGAGGAAGAGGAGTATGAGGAGGCTTGAGGAAAGAAGGAAGGGAATGTATTTTGGTTTTTTATATGTAGTTTGGAGTTTTTGGTGGGTGGTTATATGATATGAGTGGTTGTAATCTCAACTGCCCATTTATGCAAACACAGTAGTAGGTTTGGTTGTAATTTCTCTATCTGGATCATAAGTACCATTTCTTTTTTTGTCTAGTGCTTAACTTGTTCTTGGATTTTGGATTTTGATGTTTGTATATGGTTTTTAAGTGTGTACTTTTGCTATGAAGTTCTTAGTTGACATTTTTAATTACAGTTTTTGGTTAATGGTTAATTGGGGATATTTAGTTGAATCTTTTTTGAGAAAATTTGGTTATATTTTGATCAAAATTGTCTAATAAAAAACGATTGTGGGTTCAAACACTGAAACACGAGTTGGATTGAAAACATTTGATCTCATGTTGACTAAACACCGGACCTATGTATGACTAATTGTTTCTGAAAAATCGTGTTCATCTTGAAAAATCACAGTAGTTTCTTAGTTTAGAAGCTGATGACCTGTTGATAATTCATGAGCTTGCTTCTGTTTTTTGTTTGATTGTTGTCTTGTTGATCAGAAATTGTTTTTAGGCTGAATTCCTTTCATGTTGATCAGATCATCAGAACCTGTTACCCTTTGTTTTTTGTTTGATTTTCTTCTAAATTCTAGTCTCCTAAAATGAATAAATGATATGCCAAAAATGTGACAAACAAATCATGGATAATGAAGATATCATTCACTGTTGACCAGAACCTGTTACCCACTGTGTGTTTTTAATTTGCTTTGTTTCTAACCTGTTAGATAATTGATGATTTCTTTTGTGGTTTTCTAGTGAGTTATGGATAATGAAGATATCACTGTTGACAATAATGTGGAGGGTGATAATGAAGAAAGTGAAAGTGAGAACTAATGATTCAGTTAAACTAGTTCTGATGTTTGGAAAAGTTTTACTAATATACCTAGAAAAACACCAGATGAAATCCTATATTGTGTGCAACAAATGTGGTAAAAGATATCAAACAGAAAGTGTTTGCGGTATCGGTAATCTAATTCGCCATCGAACCAAATGTGAAAATAATAATACCTGGACAATATATGATTTTTGCTAGCAAAGGTGTAATGAATATGAGAACTCCAAAGTTTAGTCAGGAAAGACTTAGAGAATTGTTGATTGAAGCTATTGTTAGATATGACTTGCCATTCTCCTTTGTTGATTATGAAGGAATTAGAAATGTTTGCAAATACTTGGAACCAAATGCCAGTCATATTTGTAGGAACACAGCAAAGGCAGACGTCAAAAAGTTATATGCAAGTCAGTGTGATAGACTTCGTGACGAGTTGCTTAAATGTCCAAGTAGAATATGTTTAACTTCTGATGCTTGGACATCTATTGTTACAGATGTTATTTGAGTTTGACTGCCCATTATGTTGATAGCAATTGGGTCTTACAGAAGAGGTTTTTAATTTTTTCCAAATTCCCTCCTCCACATACCGGTATTGCTATTGCGGAAAAGATTAGTGGGTTGATAAAAAGTTGGGAATTGAAAGGAAGTTGTTTTCTATCACTTTGGATAATGCTTCATCGAATGATGTTTGCGTTGGATTGCTTAAGAATCAATTTCGTTTGATGAATTCTTTAGTATATGATGGTAAGCTGTTTCATTTGAGATGTTGTGCCCATATTCTTAATTTGATTGTTCAAGATGGGTTGAAACAAATTGATATTGTTGTGCAAAAAGTTAGAGAATGTGTGAAATATGTCAAAGGGATCTTCAGCAAGAAAAACAAGGTTTGTCAATGTTGCTCACAAAATCTTTTGGACACCAATAAAGCTTTGATGCAAGATGTTCCTACTAGGTGGAATTCCACTTATAGGATGCTTTCTTGTGCACTTTATTATCGACTTGTAACACCCCGACTCGCATGTATAAATTTACAACTTTATATTCATGTTTAAAGGCCTACTCGACGAGTTGGATGCCCCAACTCGGCATGTAGAAACATATATGGCCGCGTAACTTTAGGGACCTACTCGACGAGTTGGAAGACCCAACTCAACGAGTTAGAGCTGGAATATGAAACCCTAATTTTTAGGGTTTGCACCCTATTTAAAGGACCTTAAGTCCTTCCTCCTAGCCTCCTTACCACCCTTTCACGTCCAGAAGAAAACCCTAAGCGATCTAACCCCATTTTTGAGTGTTTGTGAGGCTAAAAGAGTTTTTTGGTGCATTTGTGCAAGAAGCTTGAAGACTCAAGAGCTTGGATCAAGGAGAAGCTTGTAGATCCAGTACCTACTCCATTTTGGCTTCCATTTGAAGGTAACAAGTTGTTACCTTGATCATTCTAGTGTTAGATCTCCTTATTCATGGGTTTAAGGCCATCCTTGGCATATTTGTGGGTCATTTCGGGTATTGGGCATGATCTGAAGTTGTAACTTCTGATCTGGACTCCTCTAAGTCCTTATAGTCATAAAGTTATTGAATTTATGAAGCTTTGGCCCTCCTTCATGTCCAAAACCTATTTCTAATGCTAGTTATAAGTGCTTTAGCTTCATGGAACCTTGCATGCACATAAAGTTAGCAACTTTACGTGATAACAACACCCTAGGAGCCTAGATCTACAGTTTGGAGTTTTGGTTTCACGTAAAAGCATCTGAATGAGAAATGGACTGAAGGAACTTAACGAGTCGGATGAAGACTGGCCGTTTTTGGTTTCTGCATGGACTCGGCGAGTCAGTGAGACGACTTGACGAGTTAGTTAGGGTTTTCCCCGACATTTGGACACCACATGGACTCGACGAGTTGTCTGGAAACTCGGCGAGTCAACTAGGGTTTCGCGATTTCTCGAGTTCTGAAGGAACTCGACGAGTCAGTGGGTTACACTCGACGAGTTGGGTCAACACAGACTGTTGTCCTTGACCGTTGACTTTGACTTTGCCCAAGGGTTGACCAGTTTGACTTCTGGGGGGGGGGGTATTTTAGTAATTTGGAAATTTATGGAAGTGGATTATTGGTGGATGTAGGTGTTTGAGTTTGGAGTTGTATTTGGGGAGTTGACATTATCATCCTGATCTACTTGTGAGATAAGTTCTTCTCACTATATCAACAGGGTCTACGGCACCAAGGCCGACCCTTTATGATTTGTATCCTCGTTATAGGATGGTTGCTATGTTAGTGATCTGTTAGATCGGTATCCTGGTTATAGGATTATGTTATGTTAGTGATCTATTAGATCGGTATCCTGGTAATAGGATTATGTTATGTTAGTGATCTATTAGATCGGTATCCTGGTTATAGGATAATACTATGTTAGTGATTTGTTAGATCGGTATCCTGGTTATAGGATGATACTATGTTAGTGATTTGTTAGATCTGTATGACTATCTGTACATGGTACCTAGCGTATAATATTTGTGTGCACATGATTGTTTGATTGGGGGTTGGGTTGAGGCGGTCATGCTTTGTGCTTGTGCCAACATTCCCAGGGCGGACCAGATAGACTGCAGTCCCGGTTAGGGCGTACTAGTCAGGCCGAAGGCCCGACGAGCGGTCCGGATAGGCTGAAGGCCCTGAGAGGCGGTCCAGACGTGCCGATGGCTCAGAGAGCAGTCCAGATAGACTGATGACCTGTGAGGCGGTCCAGTCAGGCTGATGGCTCATTATGCATGCTGTTTATATGACATGGTTATATTTGTATGGCGTTGGTATTTTGGGGGAACTCACAAAGCTTCGGGCTTATAGTTGTTGATTATGTTTCAGGTACTTCTGATGATCGCGGGAAGGAGAATGCGTGATCGTGCACCTCCCTATATTTTTATAATTTGATTCTGGGGATACTATGATATGATACTATTTTGAAAACAAATTGTAATAATTATTGGTTTTTAAATGTTTTAAAAAGTTTTAAATTGGCATGATTTTTATGGGTGTTGCAAGTTGGTATCAGAGCCTTGGTTTGAGTGAATTGGAGGAAACACTCGTGTGTATCTAATCTCAAACCGAAAACAAGATTTTAAAATGATTTTCAAAATACTAAAGGAGGATGTTGTTGGATTAATGTCTAAGTCCATAACTATATTTGGTATGTACTTGACCCGACCCGGCATGGTC